TGAAACCTAATTTACTTTTTCTCTGTTTGCTTGTGCTTTTGGTGCCATACCTAAGATACCATTGCTAATCCAAGGTTCACAAAGATTTGCTCTTATGTTTTCTTCTAAGAATTGTATAGTTTCAGCTTTTACATTTGAATCTGTGATTCGTTTACTGCCTTAACCTCCCAAGTAGCTGGGACTATAGGCACGTGTCTCTATGCCTGGCTAATTTTGTCCCTGTGTGTGTGTGTGTGTGTGTGTGTGTGTGTGTGTATGTGTGTATGTGTGTGTGTGTGTGTGTGTGGAGATGGGGTCTTGTTATGTTGCTTAGGCTGGTCTCAAACTCCTGGCCTCAAGTGATGCTCCCACCTTGGCCTCTCAAAGTGCTGGGATTATAGGCATGAGCCACCGCACTTAGCCTTATGATTCATTTAAAATTAATTTTTGTATATGGTGTGAGGTAGGGGTCCAGCTTCATTCTTTGTCACATGAATATCCAGTTGTCCAAGCCCCATCTGTTGAAAAGACTGTTCTTTCCCCATTGAATTGTCTTGGCACCCTTTTTGAAATTAGGCTGACCATAAATTTAAGGGTTTGTTTTGGACTCTTAGTTCTATTCTATTCCGTATCTTTAAAGTGGTATTTATGACTCTGCTACTTATTGTGTGACTTTCACAGATGTTTCTTTGTCCCTATGTTTTCTCATTTGTGAATGAATAATAAATAGTAAGTACCTCATGGGATTATTGTGAGGATTAAAGAAGATAACATGTAAAGAGTTTGGAACAGTACCTGGCTTATATAGTAAGCACTCAGTACGTGTTAGCTGATGACGTCATTACCGCAGCTGCTACTACATCATCGTCATAACCATCATAAAATTAAATGTTATTCCCTAACTTGTATGTGACTTCTTCTCTTTTGCTGAATTGTAAACTGTGAAATTAGATACCATGTTTAAAGAGTGAATGTGCTGGATGAGAGAGAGTGCAGAGAAAAACCAAGATTGAGGGCAAACTCTTGAGAAACACTTGCATTTAGGCATTTTTATTACAGTAGACATTTTTTTTTTTAAAAAAAAGCACTTAAGGAAAATACTAGAGTCTTTGTTTTAGGCTAATTGGGAGTAAGGGGGTCAGCTGGAAAGTTCTGTAATTATTTAGGTAGGTAAAGGATTCCACAATAGGAGTCAAGTATATGTGTTGCTTTTTAAAAGTAATGTACATGTATTATAAAATCCTAGCGTTCGGAAACTGTGGGTCTTTTTTCTAATTTTTTATAATATGTTTAGTCCAGTATCCTTAGCATTGCTATTTTAAGAGGTGCCAAGCTAATGTTGGTAATTTACAAATTCTAGTTTAAAATCCTTAGTTAGCTCCATTTAGTATTATGTGAAGGATATTAGAAGTGGTATCATACCTCATTTGTTCTCCAAAGTTTAGCTATCTTTATTTTAAGGTAAGCACATATGTATCTGGTAGTGATTTTGAGTATTAGAGTGCTTAAAAAAGAACTCCAACTCTCTTTTGCCTTCTCTTCCCTTCATCTTGAATTCATATTGTTAGCGTGTGACTGGCATTTTTTCTACTAATTATGAATTTGTATAACTGATAACAAAGCTTATAACTGCTGTCCTAGTTCTCTGCTGTAGGCCATAATTTCTGCATTCCTAGTATTCTTTATTAGTCAAATATATATAAGTTATTGACTTGATACTTCTTTTATTATAGTTATCCATACTAACTTTCTATTAGCTGTAAAATGAGAGAACCAAGTATTTTGATAGCCTTTTCCTTTAATCATGCTTAAATTTGCCTTCTGATTTTTTTTTTTTTTTTTTT